CTGCTGCTACTACTACTACTCCTACATACTACTACTGCTACTACTACTACTACTACTACTACTACTACTACTACTACTACTACTACTACGACTACTACTACTACTACTACTACTACTACTACTACTACTACTACTACTACTACGACTACGACTACGACTACGACTACTACTACTACTACTACTACTACTACTACTACTACTACTACTACTATTACTACTACTACTACTACGAATACTATCATTACTACGACGACTACGACGACTACGACTACTACTACTACTACTACTACTACTACTACTACTACTACTACCACTACTACTACGATTACGACTACGATTACTACTACTACGATTAGTACTACGACTACTACTACTACTACCACTACTACTACTACGTGTTAGTAAGCTTGAAAATATTGTGAGTATTGCGATTGATCACATTACGAGTATGTTTACTAGTACTGCTATTACTACGACTTACAATAATAATATCAGTCTCACTCCGTTGTTGTCTGCGCTATTCAGGGAAACCAGCGCCGTCTGATGTCACTACGCGACAGTGGTGATGCAGACGTTCAGGACGAGCTGGTCGAGCTCACCCTCCTTCGCAAAACGGTCGCGCTCGAGGTGGGCCCCGAGTGGAGGCCGCCACTGTGCTCAAACCCTGCTACGTCTCCGCATGCCGCTTTCCGCCAACGGATCAGTCGGATGTCGTGCACGAAGAGCTCCGAGGCGTCCAAGACCGCAGGATGGCCCAAAATCGAATCGTAGCATCAGATCGGCCATCAAAATACATCGGATCGGCAGAAACCTGAAAGCAGATCGAAGGACATCGGGATCGAAGTCCGCCGGCCGAAGCCGATGTACACAAGAGAAAAGCCAAACCAAAGTCGGAATCCAAAGTTCAAATCGAATCGAACTCCTCCAAACCGAATCGATTTGAATCGACAAAGCCGAAATGGCTTCTGAACCTGTCGGGAAGTAGTCTGGCAGGTGAGAGGCGTCATCTGCCAATCCTCAAAGCCTTCTCCCACGAGACGCGTCCAGCGCAGTTCACTTGTAACTTGCCAACCAGCGTCGAGAAGCGTCGCTATGACCGCCGAGATCGAGCCTCGAACAACCCCCTACCTTCTCGAACCCACCTTGACAAGCCGGCGCCAAACGTGAGGCCGAGCGAATTAGAATCGATGGTGAACGGAGCACTTCGTCATCCACAGGGCGAGGCATTCGGCCACCAGGTTGCGAGGCAGCTCCAAGCCTGGGTCTTCGGGGCCGTGGAGCAGGCCCAGCGAGGTGGTCAAGCAGCGCCCCTACAGAAGGCCCGCTCCTGCATTCGCCGCCTGGCGACGAAGGAATAGAACGCTGGAGGGAATGAGGCCCTGGACTTGCCCGCAAATTCCCCGAGGCGGGGCCCGCGTGGGCGATGTAGCCCGTGCGCCTCCTGTCGATGCCGAGGGTTCCTCTGCGAATGGAGGAGATCCGAGCAGATCGCCGTCGGCAGGCCTCGAGTCGGAGTCGGGACCTCCCGCCGTGCGCCGAGGGGGAGGGAAGGAGGGAAGGGGGGAAGGGGGAGGAGAGGGAGAGGAGGAGGAGGAGGAGGAGGAGGACGTGCAGAGACTACTGTCAAACGTCGTTCTCTCAATTGGGCGGCTGCGCCTGCTCCCTGGTCATCTGCTCGGCACCCCATGTGGTACGTGTGTTAGCCGACCTTCTCTGGAACGATGCTGAGAGCTGGCGTGGACATGTTGGGGAGGATGTGGCCAAGCTGGCCTTTCACCTGGGTCCGGGATTTCCTGTGGCTGGGGACCAGGAGGCCTGGATCCAGATGGTTAGTTAGCAGCGAGCCCAGGGGCTTTCTCTCGAAGGTCCGCACTGCAGTCAACCACGCCAAACCTTACTGCCTCGATCAGGCACGTTTGGCCATGTGGCGTGAGGGGCTCAACCAAATGTCTGAAGGAACTCCGCTTGGGAACTCTGTTGGTCCTGCTGATGAGGTCTTCTTTTGCTGTGTTCGTGGATGTTCGGCCAGCTCTCTACAGGCCCTGAAGAGCCATGTTGGGAAAATTTAAAGGGCAAGCAGCTATCTAACGAAACTCGATTCGGGCACATGCTGCCAAGCTTGCTTGAGAGACTTCCGACAGGTCTGCCGCCTTGTACAACACTTAGGCAACTCACCGACCTGCAGTCAAAGGTGGGCGGCCACTAGGTTCCGACCCAACCAGGAGGAGCTCAACCAGGCCCGCGACGAGGCGAAGGCAGAGGCGGCCACGCATCGGCAGGCAGGCAGGTCCGATGCACATGCTGCTCAACCATGGTTGCAATGCCAGGGTCCAGCAATCGGCCCAATGCTCAAGACTCCAAGAGCTGAAAGAAAGGCAGCAGCACTTGCCCCCCCGGTGGCCCCGCTGCCCCCTCCCCTGCCTGTTGCTTGGAACCCGACCAGGATCCCTGCCCGTCCTGTCATGTTAGTGCTGCATCTGTTTGGGGG